AATATTTTCAGTTTGACCTCCTAATCTCAAAGTCTCTCAGTGTAACCAGAGTGCTGTTACTCTTTCCAAAGAGGATCTAGATAAAAGGTTAAAAAATAAACCATGAAATGGTATGGAGTCAGTCAGGCCCAGTGATCTAGCAGCACAGTAACATGCTGATGCTCAGAGGATGCTAGTTCAGACCCTTCACTCTCTAGTGTGACAGGCTTGGGACCACTGGAGAGGCAGAGCATTTAGCAAGGTGGGGGAAGAGCTGCCCAGCTCATCAGTGACACTGAAGAGATTAAACCTCATTCCCTTCAAAGGAAGGGAGAAGCAACCTTGCCAGGGGACAAAACTGCAATAGGAGTGTCAGTGTTGAGACCGGGTGTCAAACACCTTTTTAACATGTCAAGAGCGCAGCAGGCCAGAAGGGGCAGGATAATGGAGAATCCCGGCAGGACTGAGAAAAAATCTCCCCCTTTGCCTTCCCACGAAGGATGGGAAGGTCCCTACAGGGACATTACCCTGTTCAGAAGCTGTCCAACAGCACATAGCTTGCTCTGTTTATAGCATTATATCTTCCAGTGCTCTCTTCCTATTCTGCTTCTCTTCCCTCTTAGTTTCCTGTCATAATGATCAGTGCATAGTCCATGTCAGCTGAAACAACAAAATAAGATACCGTACAGTTCAATCTGCTGAAATTACAGAGCACATTGCCAGACACTCGTCCGATTCTGCTTGGTCAGTGGACCTGTGCCTTCAGCCTGGGCCACAGCGTGGAGCTCTGGAGTCCAACCCACCCAAACAGTTGAGGGATTCAGACTGGGACGGCTGCAATAAACACACCTCTCATCTCAGCTAAGACCTGGAAGCAGCATTCTCCTATAGTCCAAGGACTCTGAGCTGGCATAAAGAAGTTCTGAGGAATGAAATGATCCCTGTGCACAGAGTACATTCCAGTTTCATTCTGCAACTACTTTATATAAATGGCCAGGATTTTCAGAAGTGGCTAGTGATTTGGGGTTTTCATCCTCAGACACCTTGAAGAGGTCTCATTTGCAGAGGGTAGGTTTGCTGCTCTTTCTGAAAATCAGGCTGGACATAAGGACACCCAGAAATAGAAGCACCCAAAATCAATGGTCACTTTTGAAAAATCTTAGTAAATATTATTATTCCATCAAAAAACTAATGTAAAGAGAACATCCACGTTACTCAAAAGTAAAGAAATGCCAAAGTAGGGACAGCCACGCCACCTTATCTCTGCCCCTATGTCTATATGCATGATACAGTCCCTTCATTACATGATCAAATGCTATAAACGACTTGTCAAGAGCACATGATATTTTTTTCTGCAACCATAGATACACTTTGCACAGCAACCACTTCTACTAGGTACTTCTCTGGGCATGGCAGATGATCAGAGCCCATGAAAGTCATCTGTATTCTTTGTGTGCTGCAAATAAGTGGAGCTTCTTGGCCCTGATCCATGTGACAGGTACCTTCACTGAAGCAAGGGGCCCTGGCAAGACCTGTTCCTTTGATCCATTGTTGTGTAAAGTTTTCCAAGACATAGAAAACTGTGTGCTGGTTGTACAAAACTTTCAGCGGTGTAAGCCAGGCCACCCACATTGAAGTCCACAGAAAGACTTCTATTGGTTTTGATGGCACTGGATCATCACACACTTCAGTGCACAGTGAACGAGGCACGTGGCCATGTAGCTTTAGCCTTGGCATGAGGAAGGGCTCTGATGGGCTTCTGCTTAATTCAACAGGTGCTTTCCTCTATATAGTGATGAGGCAGAAACGTACGGAGCCCTGTCTCAATAGTGCACAACACTTATCCCACTGCAGGAGTTCTGAATTGTCTCCTCTCTCTTCCCCATTGTTCTGTGGGTCAGGGATGTACACAAACCACAGAAGGGTAGGATATTCCCGTTGCCTCTCTATCCTGCTGCTTAGCACATCCCTGACTTTTCAACGGGGTGAGGGAACAGTCAAAAAATAATCCCTTGTAGCTGAAATCCCAGCTGCTGCCCCATGAATGAACCGAGACCAGGCTGGGAAAGCAGTGATGTCATCTCCCCCAGGGAGAAATGAGGAGCAGTCCCTGAATGGGGAACTCCCACACAGCAAGGCATTGTGAGCCAGCCCCTGCCTCAGGCCTGGGCTAATGGGTTTCATAATAAAAACAATCACCTCTTCCCAGTCTGTGATACATACATGGCAAACTTCCCACTCCGCATTAGCAGGCCGGCCAGGGCAGGAGAAGGGTTTTTATCCTCAAAGTCACTCTCACTGTGTTGTGTTAGGATGCTCTCTGAAGGAAGTCAGTATTGTTAACCAAACAACGGTGGGAATTCATCTTTCAGGAGATGGTGTCTTTTCTCTCAGCCACCCAGGGGCAAAGAAAGGGAGGCCAAAGGGATTCTGAGAGGTGGGATTTATACATTCTTCACACACCTTCAGTATGGGCGTTCGTCAGACCTGCTCAGCCTCTTGGATTCCTGTTTGGCTGGATCTCCACTACAGAGACTAAATCGGGACAACCCCGCGGTGTAGATGTGGCCTACTCCAATGGAATGGGGTTTTCCACGGCTGTACTGCCTCCCCAAACGATGGTAGTTATGGTGACAGCAGCACTCTTCTGTCAACATAGCTTTGTCTACACTGGGGGTAGCATAGAGATGTGGTTTTTTCACACCCCTGCCTGACACAGCTATACCAACCTAACTCTTACGTGTTTACCAGGCCTTAGATTCATATCCACTTACTAATGGTGAATTTCCCCTGTAACTTTGGCCAGGAAGCTTGAACTCTAGCCTGGTTGCACCATTTTAGCTAACAGCGTGTTTTTAAATCTGATTTTGTTAAACCTGTGCAAACCCCTGTATGGACACTGTTAAGTTAAATACATATAAGTAGAATTCAGGTTGAAGTAAATCTATTCCTTAATGACTTGAGCTAAACTGAAGCAAGAGTGTCTACGCACAGGGCTGAGCACTGGTTTAACTAAATCATTTAAAACCCGATTTAAGTTAAATTGGCACAACTTTGAAATGTAGACAAGGCCTGAGATACAAAGGGATCAGAAGAAAGGCAGGAAAAGCAGAAAACAGGACGGTATGAATTAAAGTCAGACTCCCCCTACTGTATCCCACACCTGCGCTACACCTCTGTGGTATACAGGTTATCCTGGCTTAGACTCAGTGGCCAAATTCAGAGGGGATGGGTAAGGGGATGAGAATTACAAGACAGTATGAGTCCAAGTGAGTGTAACTGAATGTAGAGAGGCCTAGAAGAAGCTTCCTGCGACGCATTCACACACACTTCTGGACTTGTCCTCCCCACCTTTTGCTGTCTGACATACAATTAAAAGCCAACCTCATAAACCCACAAGACAATGGTTAGCTTCCCTGACTCAGCTCATGGCTACCCAAATGATTAATGAGCAGTGGTTTCCTCATCTGCTACAATGTAACCAGCCCCAGCTGTGTGCTTTGTTGTAGGGGAGATCAGGAAGTTTGGAAAGCGGGAAGTGTCTATTGCGTTAGCATGTGGGGATTTTTGCCTATGAGCCAATTTCCTAAGGTCCAGATCTTCAAAGATGCACATGTGCAACTGCACGTGCCTAACTGAGGGGACCAGCCAATACCTGTGTGCTGGCAGAACCCCGCTGGGCCACCCCCAAATCCTGCTGTCCTTCGCAGTGGAACCACACCAGCAGTGCTGCCAGGGGGTACCCTGGCGAGTTAGACCCAGAGTTTGCTCCCAGGCACTCAACTGTGGGGTCTCCTCAGAGAGGGTGTTATTCCTCTCCCTAGATGGACTCTCCCCACCATCTGCCCTGTCCCCCAGTCTCAGAGCTACCATGTCCTTTTCATCTCCTTCCTCTCTTCCCTCGCACTGACAGTCACCAAATCCTGCCCCTTTTCCCTTTGCAAATCTCAAAAAAATCTGCCTAACCCTCTCTAGCCCCCTCACCAAAATCCCTTGTCTGGGCCACAATTTTCTCCTTTGCGCTCTGTCTAGATACTTATCACCACAGCATCTGAGCCCCTCTCCTCTGGCTTACTGATCTCTCCCCCATCCCCCAGACACCCATCTCACCCCTCTTCAGTCCATTCCCCCTGTGCTCCAACCAAGCCCATTAATCTCTTTACTAGCTCCACATTTCCCCCCGCAAAAAAAAAAACAATAAAAAAAAATCAAACTTTAAGCTTTGTCCTGGCTCTCAAGGCCTTGCAAAATTTGGCTCCCACTTCCTGGTCTGTTCTTACCTCCTTCCTCTGTCCTCTTAACTCCACTCAAGCTGCATGGACCTACCATCCCCTTTTGTGTCCTTCTCCTACTCTTTGTCACTTGGACTTCTTCCCCTTTACTCCACGTCTCTCTTTCCCAGTCTGACATGTCTCCACCAAATCCCTCCTCAGAACATGCTTCTTCCAGGATGACTGCTCATTCTACCTCTCTCTCCCATACACCTTCATCCCCCAAAGTCCCTCGGGGGCCTGATTGCTCTTGGACCTTCATGGCTGCGAAGGACCTGTTAGACAGCATTGCAGGATGTTGCTGGAAGGAGTGTGTACATAGATACCTCTGGGAAGCACCTTGTGTAGGGACAGGCCTTGTGCGAAACTGGTACTGGCATTTCCTTTCACTCTTTTTCAGAGACAGCATTTGAAGACTCAAAGCCCTACATAACTGCGAAGTATAATTTTTATTGTCTCAACCAGATTGCAGAAAATTAAGTCAACTCTCTGAACTAACTAAAGCACTGGGAGAGCATACATGGTACATTTTATCGCAGTGACAACTGCTGCAGAAATTTGCACAGCAGCTAGGTTACTGGAAATGGCAGGCACGCTTTTTAAAATACATTTCTGTGCTTTTGTTTACATTGTTATTGCTTGATATAAGCGCTATCAGGCTCAGTGGAAATTTGAGCTCAGTCTATTTAATGGCCTTGTGAACTCAGTTACATTTCCCTGTGAATCGGTCAGGATTTCACTGGCACTTACCCTGAATGTCATCGTTGAATGTACAATATCTGTTGCGGTATTTGTTGAGAAGACGGAAAGCGTTGGCATTGGCAAAATCTTCAAACTGGATCAAGCAATTCATGCCATACCTGTAGTTTAAAGGACAATTAGAAGTGAATAAAAACCTCCACAACACAGGAAGAGTAGTATATATCTGCCAAAAATTTTTTATTAAGACAACATGGCTGTATGTACAGAAAATATATACAGAAAAACGACTAGTAGAGATAACCATCCAAGGAAGTGGTACATTGAGAGTGCCTATGTTAGACATCAAAATCATCCACTCTAATCAGCGGGTTTGTCTCCACTTATCGGGAGATTGACATGCGGCGATTGATCCACCAGGGGTCGATTTAGCGGGTCTAGATCGACTGCTGATCGCTCTCCCGTTGACTCCAGTACTCCACCAGAAAGAGAAGCATAAGGTAAATCACTGCAATAGCATAAGGTAAGTAGACACTGCAATAAGTCAACCTAAGGTACGTCGATTCCAGCTATGTTATTCATGTAGCTGGAGTTGCATAACTTAGGTCGACTTAGCCCCATAGTGTCAACCTGCCCAGAGACTTTGCTGCTACGCTGGGGAAATGTACTTTAATTTGCACTGCAACATCTGAGTATCTCAATATGTTCCAGAAATGACAATGAGTTAAGCGTCACAACGTCACACCTGGAGATAGAGAAATTTTCAAGTGGAGGAAACTGAGGCACAGAAAAATTAGGTGACTTCCCAAGGTCACATAGGGAGTCAGTACAGAGATAGAAATTGGACCCTGACTTGCTGACTCTGTCCATGCCTGTGTTTTAAGCATGAGATTATCCTTCCCATTTGTACTGATTATACAGAAGGAATTATGGCTAAGGCAGAGGAAGCAGGACACATTAATTCTGTTACTTGGTCTGTCACTGATTTGTCACATAATCTAGGGCAAATCACTTAACCGCTCCATACCTCAGTTTCCCCATGGGGACAACAATACTTCTCTAACAAGGGTATTCTGAGTATCAGTGCATTCATGTTTGTGACTCTGTGCAAGATCCCCAGAGGGAGGGCACTACAGAAGGACTAAGTAGTAGTATTACAAAGTCCCATCCATAGGGACATTGAATATGTATTTGGGATACTATTTTCAAAGGAGAGTTTGCATACAAATCTTAGAAGGGTAAGGAAATCAACTTTTGCGCTTGATTCAGTTTATTTCTTTGGAAAGACAGTACCCTGCCTACAAAATAAATATCAGTTAAAAGGACACCATCAAGAGTCCACTTGAAATCTAGGTGCTTGAAAGAAATGAGTTCAAAGCTCTTTGCACCACTGCATGTACCAGCCTCTGATCCCCCTACCATTGTGTGATTTGACAACTACATTCTCCTACATTCAGAAATGTTCCTCTCTCCCACGTTGCACTGAGGAAGATTGAAACACAAACAACAGGTTATACAAAAAACACAAAGTAAACAAATTAGAGGAAAATAGTTCTCTTCCCCTAATCTCTTTCTGTTACAGTCATGCTAGCTGTTACTTGTAGATAATTTTTTTCCAGACAGCAGTATGATTTCAGATTTATGTGCTCTTTAAACTTTCAACAGTCATCTGACTCCTGTCTTCATTGCTAAACTAGTAAAATAAGAGAGAAAGTGATAACTATCACCAGCCAACGGCAGGAGCATGAGGAATGAGCAATGCAGCGATTAGCAACCTCAGTGCTATAGTTATGTCAAAAGAGGGTAAATGGCTATTGCGCTATTACAAAAATGACCCTCTCTGGGACCTTAAACAATGCAAAGGCAGCACTGCCATTCATACCTCCCAGCCAGTCTCTCCCTTTTGCCATTGACATTTGACATGAAAAAGTGGGACACCGATGCTTTAAACTAGAAAGTGATACCAGGCAAATCATGCTTTGTTTAAAAGCCAAGAGTACAGCCATCAAAAGCTCCATTCACAACTCTCCGAGTGGCTAGGCTCAGGCGCTCTCAGAGTGTCCCAGATTTTTTTTTTGCTACTTTCAATTTCTACCATGTCTGTCGGCAAGGAGACAACGACAAGCCCATTTATTGTCCCTATTTAGTACTCCATCATGAGAAATTTAATCAGGCTGGTCAGACATGTTTTATAAACCATCTGGCCTCTCTAAGAGTCAGCCCTGCCAACTTTCTCTCTCCCCACTTCTCCTGCCCCTCAAGAGATATAGGGTAACATTTGTCAAAAAGTGTGTAAGTGACTTAGGCACCTGCACCCCATTTCTAAAGTGACTTAGGCACTTAGAAGCCTAAGGCACATTAACTTTCAGTGAGACTGAGGCTCCTAAGCACCTACATTTCTTTTGAAAAATTCATTTGCAGTCAGTCCCCTTTTCCACTGGTCTTTTTCTTCCTCTTTTTCGTTCAATACACAGAACTGATCTACAAAAAGCATTGTCCTGTTCTCCATGTCGGTGTTTTTTTCACACCCCCGAATGACATAAATTATACTACAAAAGTGGTAGTGCATGGCAAGCCCCTAGTGCATGGCAAGTTGGGGTGTAAATCGACAGTGCTCCTAGCTTGCTGGGCACTAACTGGTTGTGTGGACTCTGCTACCAGGCAGTAAAAGTTCTGTTATGTGCTTTGGGGTACTGCTTGTGGTATATTGAAAACTGTAAAAATCACAAGCTGCCACTCTATACCCTTGCAGGCTAGCGGGCTCTGTAGGGAAGAATCAGTTTGTAGGCAGTAAGCTAGGTGAGTTGTGCCACTCTATTTTTAGGGAGCAGCCTGCTTTGTTTCTCTCTGTTTTGGGGCTCTTGTGTTTTCTGCATTCTAAGCAACAAAGAAGAGTTATGTTGCCATCTTCCAGCAAGAGCATTTTATGTTTTTATCTAATGTTTCTGGGTGTTGCTGAAACATAACACTGCTAGTACATCAAAACACACCAGAGACCTTTTAGTGCACAGTAGCAGGGTCCACACAACCAGTTAGTGTGCAGCAAGCTACTGCGCTGTAGATTCACACCTTGATTTGCCATACACTAAGGCTCTGTGTAAACAAGCCCTAAGTCACTAGTTGGCAGAGCAACAAAGCAAGTCCACATTTCAGATACCTGGTCCTGTGTAATGGTTGTAGTTGGAGATCATATATCAGGACTGGGTTCTATTCCTATCATTTACACTGACTCACTGTGTGACCTTGGGCAAGTCACCCAGACCAACATTTTCTTACATGGTTGGCTACATCTAGGCACCTATTTAGGTATAGACTTTTCCCTGGTGCTTGGCACTGTACAATCCGAGCGCCTCACAGAGAACAGCAGATTTCTCCTCACAACACTGCTGCAAAGGAGGGAAGCATTATTATCCCCCTTTTACAGATGAGCAATTGAGCACAGAGCAATTAAGTGAGTTGCTTCAGGTCACACAGGGAGCCTGCTCACGGCCTTAGCCACAAGACCATCCTTCATAGAATCATAGAATCATAGAATATCAGGGTTGGAAGGGACCTCAGGAGGTCATCTAGTCCAACCCCCTGCTCAAAAGCAGGACCCATACCCAATTAAATCATCCCAGCCAGGGCTTTATCAAGCCTGACCTTAAAAGCTTCTAAGGAAGGAGATTCCACCACCTCCCTAGGCAACGCATTCCAGTGTTTCACCACCCTCCTAGTGAAAAAGTTTTTCCTAATATCCAACCTGAACCTCCCCCACTGCAACTTGAGACCATTACTCCTTGTCCTGTCCTCTTCCACCACTGAGAATAGTCTAGAACCATCCTCTCTGGAACTACCTCTCAGGTAGTTGAAAGCAGCTATCAAATCCCCCCTCATTCTTCTCTTCTGCAGACTAAACAATCCCAGTTCCCTCAGCCTCTCCTCATAAGTCATGTGTTCCAGACCCCTAATCATTTTTGTTGCCCTTCGCTGGACTCTCTCCAATTTATCCACATCCTTCTTGTAGTGTGGGGCCCAAAACTGGACACAGTACTCCAGATGAGGCCTCACCAATGTCGAATAGAGGGGGACGATCACGTCCCTCGATCTGCTCGCTATGCCCCTACTTATACATCCCAAAATGCCATTGGCCTTCTTGGCAACAAGGGCACACTGCTGGCTCATATCCAGCTTCCTTTCACAAAAATCTGTATTATTAGTTGTAGTGGCATAACGGGCTAGGAGCTTTCCAAACAGAAGGGAAGGTCCCAGTCCCTGCCTTATGCAGCTCACAATCTAATGAGAGACAGACATTTTCAGAGGTGCTGGACACCCACCGCTCCCAGGAATTACAGCTGGGGTGGGGGGGCTAAGCACTTCTGAAAATCACGCCGAGGGTGCCTCAGATCAGTCCTCCCAAAACAGAAGCAACCAAACCTAGGGGCTGCTTTTGAAAGAATTGTCCTTACTGTCTAGAGCAGGGGTGGGGACCCTACGGCCTGTGGGCTGGATCCAGCCCCTTGCTCATTTTAATCTGTTTTGCGGGTCACACATGTTCAACTCATCCACTGGGGAGAGGGAGAGGGACTCAGGGCTTCCCCCACCATGGCAGGGCGAGCCAGTCCTCATGGAGGGGTGCTGAGTTTCGGCTCCCCACCGTGGGGCTGGAGCCGCGAGCGCTGGCTCGCCCCACTGTGGGGGGAAGCCCCGAGCCTCTGAGCCCCCCCGGCAGATGAGTTGAACGTGTGTGGCCCACCACTGATGTTTTCAGCGGTCAATGGCCCCTGACACAATATTTCCTGAACATCCTCCTCCCTCTCCCACTCCCTTTATCATACCTCTTTATCACATCATCCAAAGGGCTGTGGACTCCATCCCTGGGAATGGCTGGAGAATGCATATTCTATTCTGTTCTCTTTGTGTTCTTAAACTGTGCACCCATCACCGTGGTTTCATATATTCTTAGATGTTAAGTCAGAAGGAATCATTAGATCATCTAGACTAACCTCCTGTATAGCCCAGGCCATAACCTTACACCCAGCTGTCCTTGTACTGAGCCCAAGGGTGTATGTTTGGCTAACACAGACTTTCCAGAAAGGCATCCAGTCTTGATTTGAAGACATCAGGAGACGGAGAATCCACCACTTCCCTTTGCAGTTTGTTCCCCAGTGGTTCGTCACCC